TTGAGTGTTATCCCTGGGAACCCTACCACTTGGCCTTCATTCCTATCTCTCCTCTGAGCTCAGCCAAGGCACTTTCCCTGACGGAATCATGCTCTCTCTCTCAATCCTTACTCTGTGTTTCCAGGAGTCAAGCCTATAAAAGCACTTTGAAATCTGAAGTGAGGGTAAAGTTGGTTGTATTCAGCACAAATACTCTGTGAGGTACAGCAGGATTTGACTAGGGATGAGGCTATCATTCAAAAATGGTCCAGTTCAAGGGCTGCCTCCAAGAGGGCCCATGGTTCCATTTCCTTGTTACAGAGGGCAGGGACTGAGACTGCTTTTCATCTCCTCGAGGAGAAAAAGTAAAATAACAGGTCTGTTAGAGAACAATGGTCACAATCAACAGTCTTAATTATGAATTAATAATTCATAATTATTTCAGAATTGCAGATAGGCACAAATCCACTGAAATAATTTCCCAAGGAAGAACACTGTCAGAGGTGGTGGGAAAGTCATTTCAGAGCAACCATTACTTCCAAAGGCCATTAAGTTCATTCCTCTGCTTCCCAACCAGAACCTGGAAGAGATTCATGAGTTTCCTTGGCCATTCTTCCCAATAACTATCTACCAGCAAGCTTCTAAATACAGCACCACACTGCTTCTTTGTCCCTCCTGAGGCCAAGGGGGGTGATCTTTTCAAATTGATCTTAGAACCTGGAGCTTGGATTTATGAGGCATCTCTGTTCTCTTCTACTTGTCCTGCTAATCTTTTAAATTTGATTCATTTTTTTCTTTCTTGGTGGTATTGGGGTTTGAACTCAGGGCCTTGAACTTGATCTGCTTGCTTGCTCATGCCTGGTGCTCCACCATTTAAGCCATGCTTCTAGTTCTGATTTTTGATTATTTTGGAGATGGAATCTATGCCTTTATATTTGATCTGTCAGGCCTCACTCAAAACACCATCCTCAGAATCTCAGACTCCTGAGTAGCTAGGATTACAGACATGTATTCAGATTGCTCTGCTACTTATTTATATGGAGCCTTTTTGGGTGTCCTAAGAAATGTGGACATCATCCTGGCTTTTCTTGTTCTCCTGTCTTCCTTTCTATGGGGATAAAGAAGCCCTCCTCAAGTGGTGGGAAGCCTCTCCAACTATATGCAGGAAGAGAAACAGGACATGCCCTTACTCTCTCATTTCCTTCTTGGATCTGAATTTGAAGGGATGTCTCTAACTTTTTATGAAGACCTCTACAGGGATGAGAGTATGGTTCAAGGGCACAGCACTTGCCTAGAACGCATGAGGCCCTGGGTTCTATCCTCAGCACTAACTTGGGATGGAGGCGGGGAATCAACATGATAAGAATGATAGAGGTAATAAGAGGTAGGGCTTGAATGGGTGGAGGCATGCTCAACAAGAGGCTCAGGTCTCTCCTGCAACCCAATACTCATCATTTCAAAAATTCCCACACCAGGGCTGGGAAGGTGGCTCAGTGGTAGAGCACTTGCCTTGCATGCTCAAGGCCCTGGGTTCGATTCCTCAGCACCACATAAGCAAAAAGAAAAAAGCCGGAAGTGGTGCTGTGGCTCAAGTGGTAGAGCGCTAGCCTTGAGCTGAAGAGCTGAGGGACAGCACCCAGGCCCAGAGTTCAGGCCCCAAGACCGGACCCAAAAAAAAAATTCCCACACCAGGGGATTTAAAGGAACTTCAAAGAGCCCCTCATCCCCTCACAGACCCCCCCCCTGCATCTCCCCTCTATCCTCTATTTTCTTTTTTGTCGTTTGTAGGGCTTGAACTCTGGGCCTGGGCGCTGTTCCTCAGCTCTTCAGCTCAAGGCTAGTGCTCTACCACTTGAACCACAGTGACACTTCGGTTTTCTGGTAGTTAGTTGAATATAAGAGTCTCATGGACTTTCCTGTCTGGGCTGGCTTCAAGCCATGATCCTCAGATCTCAGCCTCCTGAGTAGCTAGGATTACAGGCATGAGCCACTGGTGCCCCATTCCTCTCTCTTTCTTTCTCGTTCTCTCTGAGTCCAGAAAGGGAAGAAAAAATTATTTTTCTTCCAAATAGGAAAAACAGGGACTGGGAAGGTGGCTCAGTGGTAGAGTGCTTGCCTTGCATGCATGAAGCCCTGGGTTCAATTCCTCAGCACCACATAAGCAGAAAAAGCCGGAAGTAGTGCTGTAGCTCAAGTGGTCGAGCACTAGCCTTGAGCTGAAGAGCTGAGAGACAGTGCCCAGGCCCAGAGTTCAGGCCCATGACTGCCAAAAAAAAAAAAACAAAAAAAAACAAATAGGAAAAACAGCCAGGTGCCTGGTGGCTCAACTCTGTAATCCTAGCTACTCTGAAGGCTGAGATCTGAGGACTGCAGTTCAAAGGCATCCTTGCAGGAAAGTCTATGTGTCTCCTAACTCCAATTGAACACACACACACATACACAGAAGGAGAGCTGTGGCCCAAGTGGAAGAGCACCAGCCTTGAGTAAAAAAGTAAAGAAGCTAAGAGATCATGGCCAGCCCCTGAGTTCAAGCCCCAGTACTGACACAAAAGAAACAAACGAGAAATACAAACAGCATGGCACTACCTTCACCAAAAATGCTGGAAGGAGAAGGGTCCGACTGGATCTTAGATCTACTAGAAAAGATTTCCAGGTCCAATCCTACAGCCTTCCTTCCCCTTCTTTTGCATCCAATACACATGTCAACTCCAATTTACAGGATGAAAGAGAACTGGAACGCTGGGACCTACAAACACTTTGGAACCAATCTGTGGGCACAAGGTACACTTGAAGCCTAGCTTTCTAGACAATGTGATGGATAACCAGGTAAACACACCCCTGTACCCACTCCACCCAGGGCCCTAGGACAACCCATGATCCCCCCCCCCCTCCCTCCCATCAGGCCCCTCTCTGCTTTCAGTCTCAAGATCATGGCTTAGGGACTGTAAGTTACCAATGATTTGCTGGAGAAGCATGAGTTGTTTGTTTTTCAAAATGCTACTCCTTCGGCCTCCAAATAGGAGAGCTTTTTGAACCACTTCTTCCTAGATTCCCTGCCCCCTCCCCAACCCACCAATCCGATCGAGGAGAGAGGGGGGTGGGGGGAAGAGGAGAGAAAGAAAGAAAGAAAGAGAGAGAAAGAAAGAAAGAAAGAAAGAAAGAAAGAAAGAAAGAAAGAAAGAAAGAAAGAAAGAAAAGAAGGAAGGAAGGAAGGAAGGAATCCTAAATGTAAGGGGAGGGAGGTAAAGGCGAAAAGAAAACCTTCTCAACCTACCATTCTGCCCCCACCTGCAACCCCTATCCCCTCCCCCAAATTTTCCTCTCTCCCGAGTCTCCGCTCTTCTCGCTTCTTTAAAAAAAAAAAAACCCGAAGAAGAAGGAATTTTCAATAGTCCCACTTGTCAAGCGAAGACCATCTTTTAACCTTCAACAGCAGCGAAAGCCGTGTGAACTCTCGGTGAACCAAGATTGAAGTCATAAATCACGCGTACAAAGGCGGCTGCGGAGGCTGGCGCGGGCTGCTGCACCTTTAACGCTTTCTGGGGCTGACAGGCGGCGGCCCAGCTAAAGTTCACAGCGCCCGGGGAGGGCCCGCCCCCCGGCCCCCGGCCCCCCGGCTCCGGAGACCCGGTTCCCCGGCCCAATCCCCTCCCCCACCCCCCGGACTCGGCCCGGCCTGGCCAGGCCTGGGTACAGCCGCCCCGGCCTCCAGCGCTTGGCTTGCCTGCCTGCCCGCTCGGGGAACCCTCTCCCCGGTTCCCGCAAAGGGAAAGGAGGAGGATTGTTTTCACTCCCGCCAGCCGCCTCCAACCCATCTAGTTGCTGTATTTAAACAGGCAAATAGATCTGCAAGGACATCAGCGTTTAGCTTTCTTTGGTCTTTAGCATTTTCGAGAGGACCCCCAGAGACGCACCTTTTCTCTCCCCGTTGTCCTCCTCCATCTCTTGTCTACACGGGCCCAATTAACCAGATCCTCAGGGGTCCCAAACAGGTCCCAGCCACTGGCATTTAGGAACACCTAGCTGAATCACGCCATGCAATTAGATTTTCTTTTCTTTTACCTTTCCTTACTTTTTTTTTTTTTTTTTTTTTAAGAGGATTGGAATTGGGGTGTGGACTTATTTATATCCACCCAGCTACCCAACTTTCACCCCCTTGGAGAGATTATCTCCAGGCTCTGAAGGGCTGGGACTCCCTTGCCTTGGCCTCTAGGCCTCCTCCTCCTCCTCCTCCTCCTCTTCCTCCTCTTCCTCCTCCTCCTCCTCCTCTTCCTCCTCCTCCTCCTTCTCCTCCTCCTCTTCCTCCTCCTCCTCCTTCTCCTCTTCCTCCTCCTCCTCCTCCTCTTCCTCCTCCTCCTCCTTCTCCTCCTCCTCTTCCTCCTCCTCCTCCTTCTCCTCTTCCTCCTCCTCCTCCTCCTCCTCCGATCTTGGTTTTGTTTTGTTTTTCTTCCTTCCTTTCTTTTTATCCCCTCCTCCCACTGTCTTTGGTTTAATTAAAGTTCAGTGACTCCACTTGCCTCTCCTAGCATTTCTCTGGGTAAGTGGAAAGCAGACAATCCCAGCGGCCAAGGGGCAGCAGCCTTAAAGCCAGAAGGTCCTCACCTCACTGGCCTTCCTCTGCCAGCAGCAGCCTCCAGGACACAACCTCGACCTCTTTGCCTTCGCCTTCCCACAGGTGTGCCGCTGCGTCTGGGGCTCTGAACCACCTGAGCTAGCTAGGTGCTCATCTTTCCCAGACGTCCCCCCCCCTACACTTGATACACAAAGTTTGGAGGGTGGGTACATCTCAATCCAGGCAACTTGCGCCCCTAAACCTATAGCGGGCTAATCTGATATGACAAAAGCCCTTGATGGATTTGGTATATGTTAATTCACAATGCCCTTTCCTCCAGAATTTAACTATAAGTTAATACACACCGGAAACCACGCGCATACATGCTCGTTAATGGGCTTAGGTATTAGCGAGTCCTAACGATGCATACAAATGTGCTCTGTGCTCTGTAGGCCCCTCAAGATTTATGGGCCTTGAGCTCTCTGAAGCTGTAAACAAGGAGAGAGAGAGAGAGAGAGAGAGAGAGAGAGAGAGAGAGAGCAAAAGAGAGAAAGCAAAAGAGACAGGGGAAAGAGGCCTGACTCGCCCCTCCAGATTGTGGGAGAGAAGAGATTTTTCTTGCCTTGCAATCTCGGTGCGTGGGTTTTGGCTTTGGCCTAGGGGTGGTGTTCTGCCTGAATGCTGGTGTGCGTGGGCAGGGTGCTGTTTATTTTGGGGTAGGAGGATGCCTGCCTCTGACTTGCAGTGCAGGGACCTGAAGGCAGCAGGCATTGGTGGGCATGTACGTGAGTGTTGGCACCATTAGGTGTGCATTAGTGTGCGTGTGTGCACCCCACCCACGTGGGACAGGCCTCCACTTTAGGCCAGGCTGCAATTCCCAGATCCCAGTGGGGGAAAAAAAAATCTCTAACAACAATCATAACAACAACAAATAACAAAAATAATAAATAGTACTTAACAGTCCTTCTACAGTATGATAACAATAAAATGCCAGAGGAGGTATTTTCATGAGGGAGGAGGGGTGCAGCAAGAGGCACCAAAGGGAAGAGACTCCAAAGGGAAGACAAGAAATTCGGGAAGTTAGGTTTTCAAAATGCCCTTGGGGAGGGGGACTGAGAGAAAGAGCCCCTTCCCCAGACAGAATTTGCCAGTGACAAGGAGGAAGGAAAGCCACTCTCTTGCTCATTTTCTCTGGCTTTTGCTTTGTGCAAACAGAAAGGGAGCCCCACATTTGGGGATCTCTGGGAGCCCCTGTTTTAAAGAGGTGACCAAATGCACAGGGTCAGGCCGAGGGGCAGAGATGAATGGGGCATTGGCCACAGCTTCCATATGGCTGTCTGGGCTCAGAGGTGCCCCCAGGACGACCGCAGGCCAGAAGGAAAGCAAGAAAATATTTATGGCTGCTGGCAGTGGAGAAGTGAGAGTCGGAGGGCAAGACTCCTACAGGCCTCAGGGAAAGTTCCCTTCCTACGGTCTTTTCAAAAAGAAGTGCCTGGAATTCTCCTTCCCAAGCTTGGAACCGTGCGGATTTCCATAAAGAAAAGAGTGATCTCTATCCAGATTCCTGCAATGTCTACTTCATTCTCTCCAGGTAGGTTTTCAAATAATTTTATAAATTCATTTCTTCAGGGGAGGGGAGAGTCCGAGGTTTTGAGAGACGCAGGAAGTGCCCGCGGGAAAGGAAGCCGGCTCAGTCTCGGGTCTAACGAAATCCCTCTTTTAAAACAATTGTACCAAAAGAAAGAAAGAACAACTTAAAGGATAAATATAAAAGCACACATTCGCCAACTTTTTAAAAGAGAAGAAAAAGGAACGAGTATAACTGTAGTTGATAAGCAAAGGACATCTGAAAATTGAAGCTACAAACCTTTTCAGAAGTTTGGATTCTTTTTTTTTTCCAACAGCCGATGACTTGTTTGGCCTGGAGAGAGAGAGGGAGAGAGAGAGAGAGAGAGAGAGAGAGAGAGAGAGAGAGAGAGACGCTAGAGATCCACTGAGTCACACACAAAAATCCCTGAGAAAGCCCTTGGCATTTGAGCAACACGGGGTGGAGGACACCGTCTTAGCCGATCAGACAAAATAGCAATAAGATCAAATAAAACAGATTGAAAAGCCGAACGTGGAAGACAGAGGGTGCGAGGAGGTCCGGGTTTGAGTTCCAGGCAGGACACCAGCAAGATCGCTGCTCTGGCTAGGAGCTGCCTGCAGAACCCCGTAGTCCCGGCCTCTCTAGCCTCATATCCTCAATGCCGCTTAGACCCTTTTCACTTCAGGATCGGGTTCCAGTTTTCCTGGTTAGAGCCATAGGGGGCCCAAGATAGGACCAAGTGACTCAAGCCAGCTTCTGTTTTGGGGGGCTTTCATTTTTGTTTTTGTTTGTTGTTGTTTTGCTTTTTGTTTTTCATTTTTCTCACTTAGGCCTTCCCCCTTGGCCACCAGAAGACTGACCCAAGAGACTTCTGAGCTGCTGTTGGGAACTGACACTGCTTTCCACCTACTTGGGCTTAGCTTCCCCCCAAAACCCAGTGACCAGACCATCTACTCCCATTTGGGGAAGATAACAGTACCCCTGCACCTTAACTGCCCTGTTCTATGTGACCTGGCTTTCTTCAGGAATAACTTACAAAGAAGAAAGAACAGCTTGGAGCTGTGTTTACATCTAGTTCTACCGATCCATTCACATCTGGAGGCTTTATTTATAACTCCCTCTATAACTCTCTCTGTTTGTGGGCACTGGTGGCTCTATTGACAGGCTGATGTCTACAAAATATTGCTCTATCTCTAACTGTACCTAAATGTGCTGCGGTTGTATTTGCAGATTTATGCCTGAGGAAGATATAATTATTTCCATTGTATTTGTGCATATACAGTAGTTATAGGAACAGATTTATATATGGTAAAAAATATACGACTCCCTTATAGCCATCCAGCTTTATGGACATTTGATATCCTGACAGATTTATATCTCTCAGCAGCTATATAGATAAATGTATATCGTTACAATTATGTATCAGGAGATATATACTTATTGATTGTGATATAGAGTTGTTAGAGTATTTGCTTCAAGCTGTATATGGCAATGGAAACATTTCTATATTATTCTCACTATATGCAGACATATCTATTTATAACCACATAGTTATAAAAATAGACTTAAGTAATTATAGTCCTATATGCATGTGCTGCTATCTCTCTCTAGAGTTATAGACACTTTTGAATATAACTCTATAGAGATATCCGTATGTATATAAGGTGTAATTATCTCATGATGTGTGTGCTTTGGGACTTGGGCCAGTCTATCTCTGAACAGACATATTTATGTGGAGGGCCTGGGAGAAACTTGTTCACAGAAATAACTGAAAAGCTCTACCTGGCCATCTAGGAAGCTAGCTAGCAAAGTTCTTCATTCAGAAAGGGATGGAATTACACACGGGTAAAAACAGAGCATAGGAGGCATTCAGGAAGGGCAGCAAATGGTAGGTGATTTCCGACACTGCTTAGGCCAGGAGGAACAGAAGAAAAAGAAAACCACGCAGGCACACGCTAGAAGGCAAAAACTGGTTTTGTGAGAGTCTGATGCAGACAGGTAAGACCTGGGAGCTTATAGAAGTGGGGGGGGGCAGTGAATAGCCCTATCTCCTATCTCCTCACCACCCTAAGTACCCTCCACTAAACCAGCCTAGTAGGAAGCAGCCTATGGTTCAGCATTTAATGAACTCACTGTTTAAGGACTGTCTTGCCCAGTATGGTTCTTACCTTATTTCTCTAGAGCCCTAAATTGTGAATCTCAAAGAGTGGGCTTTACAAGTGGTGTGTGAGTGGGTGGGGGGTGAGGGGGTGCCAGGTTGAGAGGAAAATGTCCTTTTGCTGTCTGCTTCTTGATCATGAATGCAGCCTAGCCGCAACCCTGCCAGAAAAGTAAGGCTGTGTAGCTAAATTCAGCTTGCTTCCACTGGGGACTCCTGGACCCCTAAAGTTTGTGTGGTTGGGAAACTGGGAGCTGAGTGAGTAGAGGGGCAAACTTTCAAGAACGGAGCCTGTTTTTGAGAGGCCTTTGGGAAGTGTTCCTCACCGGCTACCTTCTAGGACTGATCTTCAACCCTCTTTGTCACTTTTCACATTGGGGTCCCCCTTACAGAGGGATCCCTGTACTTCTAAAAGCAGCTCCTTTGGGGGATTTTTTTAAAAATAAGTGACCTAAGCCCCTAGATCTCACTTCTACTTGCATTGACAGGGCTTCCCCTGTGAGCCCCCTTCCAGGCACCACTGGGCCAAGGCTCTACAATTCTTTCCCTGCCACGAGCCATCCCAGGGGAAAAAGACATGCACACAAAGTCTTTTCTTTTCTTTTTTTCCACCAGAGTCACAAATATTTGTGTGCCAAGTGTTTGTGTTTTCCCCAAACTCTGTCCTGCCCTCCCTGATCCCTTGGATGCTGGGAAGGGAATAAGAGACCCCTGAGCTGGGGGTTAAGTGCCACGCGCCATTCTCCACACACCACGACCCACAGCGCTGGGAACTCGTCCAGGGCAGGGCCTCTGTCTGCTGTTTGGCAGAGTGGCTGCCCAAAATATACTTGCCGAGATACACAGAATGCAGGCAGTCCAAAAGCTCGTGCGCGCTCTCTCTCTCTCTCCCTCCTTCTCTCTCTCTTGCTCTTGTTCTCGCTCTCTCTTTCTGACACCACCATGGATGCCAGCTATCAGACACCTACCTGGTACCCCCATACTAGTGGCAACCTAACTAGACCAAGGAATAATAGGAATAATATGGTGCCTGGCAGTAGTGTGGCTCTGGCAGGATTGGTGTTAGGTGGTGTGGGAGATCAGCTCAAACTCTGGATAAGGGAAGAGAGTAAGGTAGTGGATGCTAGGAAATTGGGGGTAGTCATGGCTCTCTCCCCTAAGTGTTCCTGTGCCGTGACACTATTCCCAGTCCCTTGGTTCTCTAGACTTCGAAATACGTGAAAATTAAACCCGAGAGAAACCTGGACTAGTAAGAAAACTGGCCTGAGGGGACCAATGGGGAAAACACTATTTTACCTAAGAAATACATACATAAAACAAAAGTAAATCAGCTTGAGATGGACAGACGGGCTTAGGCTGAAGGAAAGGCCTGTCTTTCCTGTCTTGATTCTATTCCAGGAATTCCAAACAGATTAGATTTCATAGTTAAAATTTTGAATTAAAGGGTTAAAAAAGAAATGTTAAAACTTTACAAATTTTCTGATCTAGGAATGTCCTCTAATCACGTTTTGTCATGGATTAAATTTTTTCTCTTCTCTTTCTTATATCTCTCCCTCCCTTTTTATTAAGGAGTTGTACAAAAGGATATGCCATATGTCAGGTAATGAGTACAATGCTTCTTGGACAATGTCACCCTTTCATTTGCTTTCTCCCTCCATAAACTGCATAGCTCATTTTTTTCCCATAGTATACATTGAATACCATGACTGCATTTATATACTTTAAAATATTGTTATCATTTTCTTCCTGTAAATTAGTTGCCTTTAAGAGTTTGGAGCCCACAAATGCAAGTAGATAGATGGGCAGTTGCATTTGGGGTTGCCAATCTAGTAAGGATTATTATTATTATTATTAGCAGGGAGGGGTCAGCCTTCTTCTCCTCCCATCAGGATTTAGAATGTGGAATGCTAGCCTAGACATGGTTCCTTTTTCTTTAAAGCTCCTTAGGAGCTGTTTAGGTGAGTTCAGAGAAGGGTCTAAGTTAAGCCTCCCAGCCTTGGTCAGTGCTTGCCTTAGCCAGAGCGCTGCCTCTCACCATCCCCCGTGACACCTACCAGGATAGTTACACTTTCCCTAAAGAAAAGCATGGAGAGAGACTCTGGGGCTTTCATTTGCATATATTTGCCTCAGAAGGGCTCAGGGCAGTTGTCTGGGCTCTGGCTCCGATGGGGGTAGACTGTGGAACAATCATTGTAAACATCAGAACCTTGGGGTTGAGAAAATAACATCTGCAGGCAGCCTAAAGTCAGGAAATCATAGAACACTGGCCACTCATTGAGTCCAAACAGTCCTGGGTCCCTTTACCTAAGCTGGAGTGGCTCTTAGTGGCTTCTGGCTCCCACATGCCTTTGAGAAGCTGACAAAACTAGTTTTACTCTTACCTGCCGTGAACTCACCTCAGATAATCGCTGGGATTATGTGAGGACTAAAAGTCTCAACCTCTAGGTTGAGAACTATCTCTAATTTGTGTAATTTTTCTTTCTTTCTGTGATTCCTCCCTTCCTTACTTGCCTGCCTCTTGGCTCCTGGCCCTCTGAGTCCCATGGCTGGCATCAAGAAGTTTTTTCTGAAGTACAACCCCCCACTTTGCTCCCCCCCCCCCCCCCCGCCCTGCATCCATGGCAAAGTCTCTTCCTTTTCTTCCTTGGTAGAGCAGGCACCTGCCAGAAGCCTTGCATGCTTTTGCTGCACTTCTGATCCTATACAAAGACAGAGGCTGGCGGTTCACTGAAGACTGGTCTACACTGCCCAATAACTCAGCTAATTCTGGAGGGTGAAGGAGTGCCTGGGGGCAAATTGACTGCAGTGGAGGACCCTGCTGTAGGGGAACCAATTCCCATCTCTAGTGGAAACTTGGATGCCAGGAGCAAGTTACAATTACTATAATAATAGTCATAATAATAACAATAATAATTTATTTAGCATATCATTAGATGTGTATTTACTGTCTTCAGCTCTGCTTTTTTTTTTTTTTTTTTAAACAAGTGTCTCCAAAGGAATTCTCACAACACTCAGGGGAAACAATAACAAGCTAATTACCACCCTTCAGCTTTCTTTCCTCCTCCATTCACAAAGTCACTCTCTGAGTTGAAGCTTTACAGACCCCCTTCCTGTGTGTTACACCACCAGCTTAGCACATTCTCCCCCAGCCCCAGTTTTCCTCTCCCATCCCTATGAGAGGAATTTACCCCATACTGCAGAAAGAAAGGCTGGGGAGGGGAGTAAGCCCAAAAAGATCCACCTTTTCTTTTTTTTGCAATTGTATTAACATTTTCCCCCCTTGATAGTAGCAATGTTTACAATTGTGTGGGAACCATTTCCTTCTTTCTCGGGGTGTTGTCATTAGGGCAGGCAGGGTTAGAAGAAGACTTGGGCTACCATGATACCAAAGTGATGAATCAAGAGTAGGAGTGCGATCAGTGTTGGGAAGGAAGGATCTACTCCCTTGGCTTCCAGCTTTTCAGGTCAGCCCCCAGAACTATGAGTCTCAGATCTCATTAATGTTTCATTGTCTTCTTTGTCCAGTGGGAAGGAAGGCAGGCAAAACCTTCCCTTTTGGCGATGGGAAGAGTAGGAAGGAAGGAAGGAAAGAAGGAAGAAAGGAAGGGAGTTAGGGAAGGAGGAAGGAAGAGAAGGAGGGAGGGAAGGAAGTCTAAGCTGGAAGGTACAAGAACTAAGTAGAGGGATGATTGTATATGTATGTGTGTGTGTTTGTGTTGGTGTGTGTGAGAGAGAGGGAGGGAGGGAGAGAGAGAGAGCATGCTTGTGTGCCCTTGCTGAGGGCACAGGCATATATCCTTTTGTTGTTGTTGTTGTTGGACATAGGGCTTGAACTCTGGGCCTGGATGCTGTCCCTGAGCTCTTCAGCTCAAGGCTAGTGCTCTACCACTTGAGCCACAGTGCCACTTCCGGTTTTCTGGTGGTTAACTGGAGATAAGAGTCTCAAGGGCTTTCCTGCCTGGGCTGGCTTTGAACTGTGATCATCAGATCGCAGCCTCCTGAGTAGCCAGGATTACAAGTGTAAACCAACAGCGCCTGGTTCACATTCTTTTTTTTTTTTTTTTCTGAATAAAATAACCATGATAGCACCAGGCAAGTACTTAATTATGGAACTATGTCCCCAGCCCCCAGTTACACTTTTACAAATGTTCATTTCTTTGCATTTAAAAATATCAGTTTGTATTTTCTCAAAGATTACTAGCCAAACAAAAACTAGACTCATGCTTTTGGTCAATGGA